CGGTGAAAACATTTATTTTTCGATGGGTTTAATTCGTACGTCGAGGCTCAGCCTATACTGATAATACAGAAACTTTAAATCAACCATGAAAAAAGTGTCGTTCCTCTCTTGTCCATTGTTGAAAATAGTCCAGTCTCTCCTATTCTGTGGTGTCTGCATCCAATTTGTACTTATTCTCTTACAATCTTCGGTCTAGGGTTTATTGTTCCATTAATATCTTCCACTTTTGTTCAATGATTATTCGTTCCTAATTCTATCTCTGGTATTTAGTCCCAGTTTCCATTTTGCGTTGAGGCTTTAGCGTTTCCGTCTCATAGCGATTGAAAGCTTTTCTCTTAAAGGATATAGGTCAGCCTTGAAGACCTCTAGCATTTTTCTGATTTGTCCTTCTTCTACATTAACCTGATTCTGAGCTTCGTAGAACTTTTCAACTATACGTCTATGATATAATCTATCGTGTTTCGTTTTGCAATACAAACGTTTCTCTCTTCCCTTTTCCACAGTTTCCTCTGGTTACTTTCGTGATCCCATTTCTTTGGATCATTTGTATAACTTTCCCTTCTTTGTATTTTCCTACATCTTTCCTTATTACTTGATATTTCTTTGCTTAGCTCTTTTATTTCTTGCCGGTTTGTGTTCCCTATTCCTTTTAGTGTTCTTTTTTTTTCCTCCATTGTTCTATGCGTTATCGTGTTTCTGTAATTCCCTATATGTTTCCCTATATGTTGATCGAGTGGGTTTGGTGGTGTTTTTTTTAATAGCCATGGCGGTTGTTGAATCCAGTAAGGTTATTATTTAAAAGCGAGGGCCTCTACCTCTAGTATTGTACCACCAAAAATATAGTGCATTTATTGCTTTGACGTTTTAAGTATTTTACAGTACCTTAAACCCATCCTAAGAGATGTTTAAGCAGGTCTTGCCTGAGATGGACCGAAACCAATATTTGTAGAAACTTGAAATTTTTATTTGAAACGAAAATGAACCGTTTTAAATTTGATTAAGCATTGATGCTGAGAGTTTAATTTAAATTGTAAAACGCAATATTTCTGGCCAGGGTATAGCGATATGTGGATTTCACTCGAGCCGTCCTGTATCTAAGCTACGCAATCAGGTGCAAGCAAACCATAAGCTCAATCGACAATGCACATTCCACCTGATAGTTACGTTGCCTACGTTACATGCAGCGCGTCGCATCGTTCTTTCGCGTTATTTAAAAACACGCCGCGTCAGCGGCAGCTAGTACGAGGCGATCGCATATTTGGTCGATTTATCAGCGCCGGTTTGGATGAATTAGAAACGCGTGCGTGTGCGTTAATGGGTGGCCGAACTTTTATTGTTTCCACCCGGTCCGACGGATCCGGTCAGCTGACCGGCCCATTTCAGATCGGTGAGGCCTCGGGAGGTGACTTTAAAGTCTCGTCTACCGCTTCGGAAATTCAAATGGGCTGGAGTCGCGACCACGCGCGCCCGATCGCATCGCTAACAGCTTACCGAAACGTTCTCAAAATTTTCTACGACGTCTCTCGTTATTTTTGAAAAATGTAGCAAATATATATTTAATACGTTAATTAATAAACATTTTTTTAAATGGTTTTGTCTTGTTCATATGATTGGATTAACGCATTTCACTCCATATGAACATGGAAAACTAACTGAATGTCTATTTATTTGAAAAAAAAAGAACTTATTTGGCTTAGTTATAGAGAAAAACAACTGCATAATGTGAAATACTCCTGCTAATATTTACTTGGGCCTTCCTCATTATCGATAACGGCTTGCAGTCTTCAGGGTACCGATTCAACTAATTTTCTAGTATACTCCGAGGAAATTGGGTTCCATACTTCCGTAATTTTTTCTTTTAATTCATTCTTGTTAGATATCGGGGAACTATTTACTTTGTTTTTTAATGTCAACCGCAAATTTTCAATTACATTTAAGTCTGGTGACTGGGCTGGTGTCTTAATAACATTTGGGCAGTTATAAAGCAACCAACTTTTTTCGATTTCTGTCTTCCTTAGGCTTTCTCCATACTGATATTTTTCCATCGGATTCAAATAAGTTTATTTTGCTCTCATCGGTAAATAATACCGAATTCCAGAAGTTCAAATCTTTATCGATATGCTCTCTAGCGAATGCCAATCTCACGCGTCTATTTCTTCGGCTTATTTCTGGCAGTTCGACCACGTAAATTATTTTTTCGCAGGATTCGTCGAATTGTTTCGAGGTTACACCTTTTTCTAAACTGTCTTTCCACCTCGACACACATCTTTGGGGCACTTTTTTTTTGGATAATTCGATACCTCTCTCTCTCTATGCAATCCATCTTTCCTCATTCATAGATCTTATTTGGAGCTAACCTTGACTTATTCTCGACCCTATTTTCATTATAGTAATGCTCAATGATATGCTGAACAGTTGACGGACATTTATTTACCATTTTGGCTATGTCTCTTTGGCGTATCCATTTCTGTGATAAGTAATAATTAAATTTCTCTCAGAAATTGTAGCCCGACAACACATATAAAAAAAGAATCGTTTTACCGAACGAAAAGGTGTTTTAAAATGTTAAACTAAACAAAAAACAATTGCAGTAATAAATAAAAGCCTTGATAAATTTCAAACTGGTAAGTTTTGACCCAGGTTATTATTTTTACATCATTTAAGCTGTGCCTAAATAAGGCATATTTAAGGGACTTTTTAGAACGCTCTTTACTAACTTAATTTCCATAAGTTGTTTTTTGCCAAATAAATAAAGAGACGTTCCGACCAGTTAGATATTCAGTAGTTACCTGTTACCTAATAAAATCTATTTTTTATATTTTAATGATGATTTTAATTTGGCACACATTTATCATGTAGCAAGAGGAATTATTTAGTGTACTACGGGTTTCACTTAAAAATAAATACTAATTTCTCAAGAAATTAAATTAAATTAAAATAAATTTCTTTAGAAACGATTGAAAATTTTAAGAATAATTTTTATTTTAAGAGAAATCAGTGGTCACCAATATCTGCCAAAATAGACATGTTTAATTTCATAAGCCAGCCACTGGTATATTTTGAAAAAAAAAACTGCAACTAATGCCTCTTGATTGTCCGCCAAATTTCACGTTTAGGACATATGTTCAAAAGAAAGTTTATTTTTTCGGATTTCACAAATAAATAATAACTCATCGAGTTGCTATTCCACTTTTCAACGCAGATGAGTCACTACCCTTTATCAAGTATAAAATCTAAAACAATACGAATGCAAATATCTAAAAAACATATACAATATATAACTAATGTTTCCTTTCTCTCCAATAAATTTTTCTAATGTTAAAAAAATCTATCTGGTATATCAATTTTTATGTGTTTTTTTATTTGATCATCAAATAATAAAAACTAAATGACAACAATCTTCATTACTCATAGTCAACGTTTTGTATTGTAAAATTACATTGGCTGTTTATGGTATTCTTCATTCCGATTTTAATCAGACTAAATAGTTTTAAATTCATACAAAAAGGGTGTCCTTTATCTTGAAAAACGTACGTACTTAAAATTCGTCTTTTACCTTTCCTTTAAAACGAACTCGAGGTTTTTACTCTTTGAATATTTGAAAGTCCTTGCCTTTTCTTGTTTTTTATAATAAGAAATATTATATCACTGCCGGTCAATTTTAAAACTTATTTACCGTCCCAGGCACCCACCGATTTTTACGAATATGTAAAACAAATAAATAAATAACAATAATTAATTCCCGGTCAAATATACTATTGCCTAAAAAGAGGAAACAAAATCTCATTAAAGTGGTCGAATAGGCCGCCGTTTTTCAATTCGGGACGTTTGAACTACCCTCGAAGGGGGGAAGTGGGCCGAATAAACAATGCAAGGCCTAATATTTTGTGTCGATAATTGAACGCGAGCAATGAGGACGTTGACGTGTAAATTCCCTGCCCATTACGAAACGTTTACTGGCTGCGGTTTTAATTGTCTTGGTCGTTGGACGTCTGCCCCATACAGGAATGTCAATTACGGGCGCCCATATCTCCAACAACTGTACATTTCCATCGACAACGAAGACAATAATGAAGGGCATCGTTAAAAACGAATCTAGAGGGACGGCGACAAGTCGTTCGTCTGGCCCGCGAAATTAAGCATTCTCGATTTGTTTTTCGTAAAACGCTATCTTTAACCTGTTTTCCCGTACAAATTTGCTTTTACTGTGTGCGGTTATCTTTCCGACGATAAGGGCGCCCGATTCCATGGGAAAACAAATCCCGGCACATACAAAACAAATTACTAAACATTGTTTGCTTTAGATTCGTCGTCTCCTGCGGTTCCCTTCGTAATATCGGGCGATTCGGTGGAAAATCGCGACCGCAAATGTATTAATCATTCAATAACGTCACGAAAAGCGGAAATGCAATTGGCATTGGCATTTCCAAAAATAATTCCATTTCCAACCCGTGTCGTTCGCAATGTTCAAACCGCAAAGCGCCGCACGCCGGTTAAAAACGCGAGTGTATGGCCGGCCGCTTCGCGGGTTTGTTATTTGCGCAAGTCGATGAGGACACGCGTGCTGCAACATCGACAATAATTATTGTTTATGATTATTAATGCAATTGCAACGATGTCATCGGTAAAGTTTTACGATAGATTCGCGGATGGTGTCGGAAATTAAAAAAAAATCTGTACACATTGACAATGACATATAAATATATATGCCCCATTAATTCCATATATCTGTTAGGTGATATAACATTTACGGCGCACCTAGTTCTGATAAGATACCGATGATAATGTTGCCCAGAGAATTTTTTTCGCAAAATCTTCGACTAACACCAACATTTTCCTCGAGTTACGCAAATTAATTTAAATAAAAAAGGGGGTAGACCGCGATAAGCAGCGGTATATCAATGGGGCCACGCGGGGACGAATGCATAATTTGGCCATTATCAATTCCGATTGCTACAATTCGGAATATTTTACCTGACGTAAACTAGAACAGGGCTCACCTTAACAGGAGTACCGTATCGAAACAAGTTTCTACTTTTCACGGGGGTGAGCGCGTCCCTTTCATCGCAGTGAAGTTTCACGTCCTCGATGTTCTCGCCCAGTATCTCGTTCCGCAACAGGATATTGTAGACGGAACTGTCTCTAGCGTTCTCGCCGCCATTCTCCCGATTGCTGCCCGTTTTCTTGGCCACATGCACGGACTTATTGGGGTCGGGCATCGTGGCAAAGTTGGTCTCCCAGTTGTTGTTGTTCCGGCACGGTATGAAACGGTCATAGTTTCCTATTGAAGGCTCCGCGTTGAACAAGTTTCGGGCCACGCCGAGCCTCATCTGCCTCAGGATACGGCCATCCCCGTCCAAAGCCATCGATTTAACACCGTTTCGCGTTCAGTAAGGCGACGAAAACTTTACGCAAGTACCATAACAATGTAAACGGTTCAAATGTCAAACTTTATCGCCTAGAGATCGCTGCATCCTGAATTAATTTGAATGCAATCACGCGGCCTCCTACGATTCACTGAACAGGATAACGAACTTGGATTGGTGTGCACGCGGCGAGCCGTTTACGCCGAGCTTTGGAATACCTCTGGCTACGATTTGAGAACTATGGATAACCGAAGCGCTTGAAAAACGATACGCTCATTTAATGATCATCCCCACTTTTTTTCATGGGACTTTAAATATTTAAATGTTCAATAAACAATATGGCTGCCAGATTTCAACTGTGGTTGACGTTTGCCAACATTGTGCGTTCGGAAACGCATTGACGTAGAGGCCACTCTCCCAAAAATATGTTTCCTACCTCGCACGTTCAAATGTCAGCTAAAAGCGAAAGTGGAAGTTTAATTGTAAATAAGCAATATTATAATATAGCTAAAATAAGTGAGTATAGAGCACTGAACAAATTTCAAGGTAAGCAAAAAGAAGTATCCAAAATCCGGTTGACTATTGACAGACCAGCAGGGGATTCTGTCGTGAGCATTGCACATGGCGGTGCCCAAAATTTTGAAGTCGGTTTCCACTCTGTGGGTTTAATGTTTTAGTATTCAGTGACTGTTTGAAACTTATGATCGTTGTCGGTCCCGTCGTTTTTTCCTGTTCACGCCGGTATGGAAGCTGGTTTTTTTGGTATCGGCCAAAGTCTTTTTTTGCCGGCCGAGCAAATATTGGTTATATTTCTTCTTTTTACGTGTTGGCCTATGACTAAAAGCGAAAACCTGGGTTTCATGGTTTAAACGTCAACTGCAGAGAAATTACAACCATTTGCCGCATGAGTAATAATCATCTGGGGAGAATAAATATTAGAGATACAAGGAACTGCGTTTGCGGAGAATTTTTGTTTGATTGTCGTTTGCATTGGGGTAATTCTCAACGTTCGTATGAATCCTTTGCTTCTTCACACTCCTCAACTCCTCTTTCATGTAATAGCCTACTTTTTCGTCTATCGAAGATAGAATTGTCATCCAAACTTATATGTAAATATCTGAAAGCTTGCTGTATCAATCTTTAGCTCCTATTCATTCTTGCATGTCGATTCCCCTTGGAGGGTGATGAACTCGTCCACTGCCTTTTAATTAAGGCATACTTTTAGGTCACAAAGAAAAGTTACTATATACTGAGAATATGGCTGAATGATCTAGCAGTTTTGGCCAATAAAAGTAAGGAAGAAGAAGAAGAACCAGTCGCGCAGACGTCTTCACGACCGTGTCGATATGGTGGTCCGACTAAGGTGTTAGTGTCGGATTTTGTTCAAAAACCTTGTCGAAAATTAAGGTATCCTCGACGCGACCCGCCGAATTATAGTAAAATCGCAAACGACGCATTACGTGGACGAGTAATTTTATCGTTTCAGACAAAGTAAGTGGTCACCTAGTGTAAGTTTTGTGTATTGATTTTGCAGGATAACAATGGTGGTCGTCCACGGCGCGATGTTTTGCCATTATGGCCGTCTCCGTCGCCGACGACAATATGCATGCCGTCGTTCGCTACTCGATAACAACTCGGTAATCGGTCGGTACCTCGTTTGCCGTAGGTTCGTCGCCACGGCAGAAACAGCTTGTGCGTGGCTCGCTTAAAAGACTTTCACCGCGGTCGCTTGAACGTTTCGCGATGACATCGTCGCGGTCTATTCTGATTTCCGGGTCGCGATTCTCCTCGTTTCGTAACGTCGTCGTCCGAATCGCCCGCACGCGGTGGTGGTACTATGAAAGGGGTGAATGCGTGACTCAGTCTTCTATCCTGGAGCAAGAAGCCGCGTATTCGCGACCGTCGAAAGCGGTTTTCTCCGGGTTAAGAGACTGGCGTTACTATTGTATGAATGACGAAAGTACCTACTAATCCCTGGTTGCCGTTGAGGCCAGAACTGCAGCGGCGGGGGCTGCGGTCTGGTGCCGCGTGTCTCGCGCGCGCCCGGTTCGAAACCCGGTACCTCGACAGATTCTGTGGGGCTCGTTCTTAATTACCAGACGAGTACACGAAGTGAGTCGCTTTTGGTTAGTTTCCGCACAGCAACTAGGTATAAATAAATATTAAGTTTTGTTTTCGCAGCTTTGGGGCGCAAGGTCAAACCTGCGCCAAGGTACTGGTTTAGTTTCACTAAGAATTTGCTCAGCGAATATCAAATCATTATCCACTGAAAAAAAAAAAAACAATTTTTGGTCAATTCCTAACTTTTTTCCTTTAACGAAAAGTAGGGTTATGTAACGGTTATTTTTTTCGCCAGCTGATGTTTCGAATGCGATTTTATAGCTTCGCGTAATGTCTTCGAGACGACGATCCCGGAGCCGGAGCAGGGACAAGAAGAGCGCGATGTCGAAACTGAGGATGGACAGCAAGCCGCAGACGCCCCGGATTACAGGTAGGTCTGCTACTTTTTTTTTGAGAAGCGCGGAAGTGAGCGGATGTGGCGTTTATAGACCCCAGTCTGCCGGCGAGCCGGCGCCGCGAGATCGACAATGTGATGAAAAAAGCCCGGGCGCAGAACTCGCCCACGTCGGGGGCGTTCTGGGACAAGAAACTACTCGAGGTGGAAGCGAAGGATCCCAACAGGTAACGCTTTGGAGAATTTCAATTCTTGACCCATACAGAAAAAGAAAGACTAAAGTAAAACCAGAAACTTATTATGGTTCGGCGGTGGGTTAGGCTAATTGAAACAGTACTGAGGCGGAGTGGGAATGGTATTTTGTCGCGTGAGCTTGGAGTTAATATAGTGTAAACATAAACGTTAGGTTTGCTATTGTTTTTGTACTTCCCGAATAGAACTAGTTCTTTGTGTGTTTGCTTTTATCATTATAATGAATAATAACTTAATACTTGTGCCTCTGTTTAATTTTATAAAAAAAATATATCTGAACTAGGAGGACATATAAAAATATTTCAAACATTAATTGCCCCTGCTGAGCTTCCATAAAGTTTTTTTATTTCTAGTATTCGACACGACTAACCAAAAATTCCCTATAATAGTTTTCAGGAAAGATGATTACATTAGCAATGAGACCAAGGTTATGGCATTTGCTGGTGTGATTATTTTGACGTAGTCTTCATCTTTTCTAATATTTATTACATATTAATAAATGAATTTAATTTCTGAACTAAACCAAAACTACCCATTAAATATTTGGTAATTTATGTTGTTGCCATTAAAACAAGATTCGTTTAGAAATATTGTGGTTGTGCGAAGTGTGTGCTCCGTACTGTGTACTTCGCAGTCTACAAAGTCACTATTCAGCTTTGTATTTTAAAGGATTTTTGTCCTAGAAGGACGCATTGTTTTTCTATCACGCTCCTGCGTAACACTATGGAACTTTCGCACAATCGATGTAATTTTATTGTGCATGCACCCTGTATAATGTGTCTTTCACATCTCGTCGAACTTGCTAAATATTAAAATTTTTGCAAATAATAAAGATTTCCAAAAATATTTTTTCAAATATCTCGCTACCCTGTATGATACATGAAGTCTAAACTGAAATGTTAAAGCCAAATTATCTCATGTTTTGTAATGTTTCATTTACGGCTAATAAGGAAAAATGCAATTTTCGAGGTCTTTTAGATTTTTGTCCATAATAGAAAAAAATCTGTATATAATCGAATTTTTTTTTGAAATAATAAGTTATAATACCGGATTTTCCGCGTCTTTTGGTTCAATAATTGTGCCGATCGGATTAATAGTTTTCGAGGAAATCATCTTTGTCAGGAAACCAGAATAACTCAAAAAAAAATCTAAAATTTTTAAAAAATACTTGGCGAAAGTTGATTTTCCCCCTTTTTTACAGTTAAGATATGGACTTTTACTTCTCTGCTAAAATTGACGTAGATACCTATAAATTTGAATTACCTATCACATTTTTGAATATAGCACAGAATATTCTGATCATCCTGTACAATATGTGACCTTAAATCTTAAATACATAAGTTTTAGTTGTACATATTTGCTATATATTTATGTCAAAGAAACTAAAAACTGAATCACAACTTTATAGTTATCTTCAATTATTATTATAATTATCATTTTTAAAAAATCATCAAGGTTTTCGGTCCTGATCTCGCTCGTCTTTGGGTTCAAGAATTTTCTCGATCGTATATACCGTTTTTGAGAAATGATTTTTTTTTCTTGATACCCTTCAAATGCGGTTTTCTTTTTTTTTTTTTTTTTCAATACTATCCCCCCCCCCCCAGTCATCACATTTTATTTCAATAGGTTCCGTTAGGCTTTAATTTTTGGACACATCGTGTTTCATAGCGATGTACTGAGAACAGACGAAAATCGCATAAAAAAGATGGACGACAATGTCCGTTCACGATAATTTTTTTATAGGCCCGTGTATCTCTTGGGCCGTTTCAAAGGAAAAAAAGCTCAACGCAGTGACTTTTTTCAACGCTGGACCTCGATTTAATCGATTTTTCGAAAGCAACAAAACAACAACAAAACGGCAAATTCGACAGTTTCACACTTTTGTTTATTTTTGATCTTAAAATCCTTCATTTGGATGTTGAACCTATGGGGACCGAACGGAGTCCCTCTATTTACGTTAAAAAGCCCAAACGAATAGAGTGTACCCGAACCCACCTCTAATAGCAATTAATAATAAGTTGGTACGCCAAAACTTCATTAGCATTTTCACTATTTGCTAATTTTTTCGTTTTTTTTTCTGAAAGTGTTTTGCGATGGGAGAAATTTTGTCGAATCAGATCCCTCTAGGACGTAGGCCACGATTCTCTTCGACGTTTATCTCGCGCTCTGTGTCGACAGATGGCGCCACTCGGGTTACAAATCCCTCTACATAGACGGTTCGTCGTCCCCGTCGTCGGGCCACCGCAGCCGCAGCCGCTCATTTAACGGGCGGGGGCGGTCCCCCGGGTCGCCGCGTCGCCGTTCTCCGTTACCGCGGCGGTCGCCGCCCCTACGCGGCCGTTCGCCGCGATCACCGCCGACCCGACGTCCGCGATCTCCGCCGCCGCGTCGGACGCCCCCGTCGCCGGCCAGGAGACGCTCCGCGTCCGCGAGCAGCGTGAGCAGCTGCTCAGACGAGTCGTGCTCGGTGTGCTCGCCGAAGATGAGACGAGGCGCGAGGTCCAGGTGAGTCGCGAGCGCCGCCCCATGCCTCACTCGCTAATCCCTCCCCCGGCGTCAGGTCGGGCTCTTTTTCTCCGGTTCGCGTTGGCCGTAAGTCGGGCGGCAAACAGCCGGGACGCGCGAGGGGGCGGCCCCCGAGTCCCTCGCCTTCGCCTCCTCCGCCGCGACGCATGCCGCGCCCGATGACGCCACCGGTGGCTCGCAAAGCCCCGAAACCGACGACCTCCGACAAGCCGACGGACCCGAGGAGGCAACCGCCGCCGCCGAGGCCGCGCGGCGCCACCGGCGAGATAATCAACATCAAGGGCGTGAAGCCGCCCATGAAGCCGGGGAGCGCGGCCGCCGCCGTCAGGAAAACTGCGCCGGGCGGCGACAAAACGACGCCCGGACAGTCGGTAAGTGTGGACGTTTCTTTGCGATTTTCGCCGGATATTTGAAAGGGGTCGCGCCGTAGAAACTGCTCAGCCGCGTGAAAAAGGAGGGGGCGCCGCGAAAGAAGAGGGCAGGTTCGCCGGCCGGGGCCGGCGGCGATTCGTCCGGTTCCGACGACAGCGCCCAATCGGTGACGGTGCCGATCGTCGCTACTACGGGCATCACGCTGTCCGAGCGTTTCGGGAAAATCGCGCAGTGGAGCGCGGACAGGGAGCGGCGCGACATCGAGAACATGCGCATCACCAAGACCGGCACCAACATGAAGGTGATGGTGGAGGAGGACGATTTCTTGTATGGCACGCCGCCTCGCAGCATATCGCCGGTTCCCGCGGGTCTCTACCCCGACGAGCTGCTGGCGTCGGGGCCGTCGCGGCTTGCGTCCTGGGACGACGTCCGCGTGCGGTACCAGTATTACAAGGACCTGGGGTACCTGCGCGACCTCACGCTCGAGGATTACGTCAAGTGGGAGGAGTGGTGGTACAAGTACCAGGACTGGCTCGCGAACGAACGCCACTACGAGCATTGGCTGGCGAGCAGGGGCTCGGGAGGCGGCCACCGCAGGAGGAAGAAGCGACTGCCCGCGTCCCAACGGCTCAACTGATGAAACGTCTTTCGGGAGGCGTGGCGTTCTTAATTTTTTCCCTTTTTTTTACTTTTTCCCTCGTCGGAGGACGATCGTTAAGCTCTAGGCTTTATTATATTTTCGACTTTATTTATTGCGCCGGACGAAGGACGGGCTTTACGTTTACATATATATATAGCGATGCGATCGGTTGTTTGTGTAATTCGGATCGAGCGGCATAGAATTTATTTACAGTACCCCAGTTTTTTATTTTCGGTCCCTGCAATGCGTTTTTTTCCGTGACGGGGTTCTTGTTTTAATTTAAGTTATAGCTGGACCAGAATTATAGTATTTTTACCATCGACCTCGTGATTAATTTTTTCTATCGTTTATTACTCCAAATCCTCGGCCTCTGCCGGTCAGACTCTTACCCCTAACTATTCCAGGATCGTCCTCGGAATTCAATCTTTTTCGCCGAACAATTCTTGAAACGTGTACATAAAAAAAATTAGTACAAGGTTACAAGTTTATTACGTTCTATTTCATTACGTTTCTACTTAGTATCATTATTAATGGACAAAATACTAAATATAATAATAAAGTATCAGTCAGTTAAAAAATCGTCACCTATTTTGCCGAATTACGCTTATGGTGCTATCACAAAATATTGGTGCAGTGCTATTTCTTTTTATATGCGCTTTCAACAAATCATTTTTGTACAGAAATTATTTAATTTCTTCATTATTTGAAGAAGTATTTGCAAATTTTTCTAATTTCAGCTGAATGATAGGAGGCATTATCTAACACAATAACAGTATTTGGCAGCAGTTTATTTTCAAACTAATCTTCAAATAATTTCGCGGTCATGTTTTCATGGTAATCCACAATTGAATCTTTGACGTTTTTGACTGACAAAAATAAGGCATCTTCCACCCAACCATTTTTGGACTCAGCACGAAGAATTATCTAGTCTAGTACACACTTGTTATTGTTATCACACCATCCTTTTTTTAATGTGCCGCGAGTGTCAAGTGTGAAAATTCAAAACAACTTGTCTAGCTTTTTTTTTTTATTCCCTGAGGTAGTTCGTCTTCTAAATTGTCATTAGGTTCGACTATCATCACCACTTCGTCTGCGTTCTTTTCGATATCTTCTAACCGCGGAACATATGCTTCATTCCATGGTTTCCACATTTTAAAGTGTTAAAAAACAGGAATCCTCAAAAAAGATTCTAATAAGTATTTATCTGTATTCTTATGACGTGCCTTTATCTACCCCGAATATAATCTATACTCTTAAAAAAGAATCGAAGAACTATGTAGAAGACACAAAAATACAATCGACAGGGACACAACACAAAAATTATTATTTTCAAACTTACCTGTAAGATAAACTGCCCTTTGAACTATCGAGTGAAAACAGCCTCGCAGGATCAAAGCTCAAGAATCAGGTACATAAATACGTACTTGCTGGAAGGATCACAGTCAAATTCTTAAGAAAAATACATATCACCTGATATTAACATAAACGCTTCTGCTTATGCAAAAATACCCAACAGCATCAATGCTTAATCAAATAGAAATTTCAAGTTTCTACAAAAATTCGTTATGCTGGTTGAGATAACGGAAAATAATTAAAACGTCAAAGCAATAAACGTACTATGTTTTTGGTCATCCAATAAACCCGGCGCTCACTAAAACTCCACATTCGAATTTAAAACAAACGTATATTTTAAAAAATCGGTGACCGCGCAATTACATAAAAAATAATTATAAAATGCCCAAGTTCCATATAGCGATCGCCATAAAAATATGGAACGAACATAAACGGTAACTTGGGGTTCCCGGAACTCAGTGGCGGTGCTTGCGGTCCTTTTCCAGATGCAGTTTGTCGATTCTGGATACGATGTCGTCGCGCACCTCTTCGGTGCGTCGCACGAAGGGCGCGCCCCCGTACGTGCCCAAGTTTTGGCACGCGTCGATCAGCCGCAGCCACTTGTCGTCGGTCGCGAGCACCATCGGGTTCCCGACCACGATCAGCTTCGACTTGGCCCTGGTGATCGCCACGTTGAACCGCTAGAAATGCGACGGTTCGTCGTCGGTACGTCTGACCTACCACCCCCCACCCCCCGTCCCTCACCTTTTCGTTTTTGACGAAACCCAGCTTGTACTTGCTGTCGTAGAGCAGCAGGTCCTCCTGCGATCTCACCGTCGACAACACGATGACCCGTTTCTCGCGCCCCTGGAACGCCTCCGTGGTGCCGACCTCCACTTGGGAGAAGTCGCGCTTAAGGGCGTCGAGTATCTTGTACACCTGCCGTATGTACGGTGTGATGACCCCGATCTCGGACGGTTTGACATCAGCCCCGGGCAAGGCGACGAGCGCGCGCACGTACCGCACCACCATCTGCAATTCGCGGTCGTTGTAGTAGCTGGGCGAGCGACCCTCGCGCCTCTCCTTCGCCACCACCGAGCAAAACTCGATGGCAGCGTCGACGCAGTCGCGTTTCCGCCGCTTCGCATTGTTGGTCGCTAGCGGGTACAAGAAAATGCGCGCCACGGGGTCATTCCCCGCCAACACCGACACCGTCTTCAGCAGCCCTTCGTAAAACATCTCGTTGGGTAGCCGCAGGATGGTCGGGTGCGAGCGGTAACTCAGCTTCAGCATGGTGATAAAGTCGGCGTTCTTGGACTTGTACGGCGGCCGCGCCATCAGCCGTTCGACGATCGATTGGTCTGCAAAACGGGAACTCCGTTTATATCTATCGCTCGACATTGCGTCTTTATTTACCCCAACAGGGGTAGTTCTTTTTGGAAATTCTGCGAGCCTTAATTAATGTTTCTCGGGTGTATTTACTGGGATTCTCAACTAACGAACTTAGTTGCTAGTGTTAGTTCGAGCCGGAACACGTAATACAAGATTTCTTATGCACTGCTACGCGATTTTGGCAAAATAAGTACCTCGCACGTTTCGCGAAAAATCCTGATGGTTTTGCCTAATGCTCCCTTCTCTAAAATACCTAATTACACACCGATTTAGCGTGCGTGAAGCGTCACTTTGCCGCGTCAGTTTCGTTTCCCACGGATCCGAGCCAAATCGGACATTTCCGGGATTTTACCGCACGGATTTGGGAACGATCGGATATTTTCCGAGAGATTTCCCACGCCTTAAGTTTTGACGTTCGTCAGTTCTGACGGTCACGTCAGTAAATGTATTCGTATTGTTTGGCGAAAATGTCCCCAAACACTAACACTTGTTGCATAGTATACTTTTTTATTTGTCGCAAAACAAGTTACATGATGAAGAATCAAACTTCCACGATGTAAGGTCTAACCTATACCGAAAACTAAAAGCGATTTAAAATAAAATATAGGCAGACGATGAAAAAGAAGTATATATAAAAAGAGAAAGAAATAGTTCTTGTCCCAATAAAAATGTTGTAAAAATTGAACTGAGGTGGCTTTTACTTGATGAAAATCCATTTATCAAAATAAATAAGAACTAAAAGTTCAGATTTTCACGAAATTATATATTATGACATGACAATTGTTTTGACAACACCGTGTATCAAATGTGACATTTGATAAAGAAACGGTGTGGTCGAAACAATTGTCATGTTATAATATATAATTTCGTGAAAATCTGAACTTTTAGTTCTTATTTATTTAGAAAAATGTTGTATTTATTTAGCATAGGAGGAATAAGTTTTGTAGTCCTTTATGTTTATATATGTTATGACTACGAATCTGAACCCGGAACTTAAGTTTCGTATAAAGAGATGGAGGGACTTTAAATTTAATTACGGCAAAAGGATACCGGATGTTGAGATACTGGCGAAGTGGTTAAAGTTACTGAAGTACTGAATATCCTTTAAGTAAATCTTCACATGTTTAGTAAATTTATATATATATATATATATATATATATATATATATATATATATATATATATATATATATATATATATATATATATATATATATATATATATATATATATATATATATATATATATATATATATATATATATATATAGCACTTGAAGACGCGTTAACGAAACAATTTAGGAAAAACGCTTGTATGGACTTTTTTTTAAATAAAAAATGGTGTCCAATGGTCAGGCAACCGAGAACCACCAGTCTTCCTTGTATAATAAATGCTCGATATGTTTTAAAACGAACAATATTAGTTGTGTCCATGATAAGTGTAACCCATTCCCAGTAACTGATGAAAATCGGGAGTATAAATTAGAATGGTACGAATAATCGGTTTAAACAGTGCTATAGGCCACCTCGAGACACAAATTTTTGTATTTACAGTTTTCGTCAATACCGATCGAGATATTTCAAAAAAATCCAAATGAAAATCAGCATTTCTCGCCTTCAACCTAGACGCGATGACGTCATTTACTGTTACCAGGTATTGCATGGTTTCAGAAAACAAGTATTTTCTTGAAAACTATTTACTCCATTGTTGGAATTATATACAGGGTACCTCGTGTATGGGCAAAAAATTCTAATGCATCGTCATTGGCCATAAATGAAAAATTTTAAAGATGTGATAATTTCATTTGAACTGTATCGTAAACTGTGTCGAGAGAGAGAGAGAGAGAGAGAGAGAGAGAGGTTAAGGATTCTTCTGTGATACGGGGTGCGTGATATATTTGAAAAAATATAATTTTAAATCGCAATTACCAGTACAAATTTTAATATTTACCCAAGTTTGTCGTGACTCTGAACTTCGGTGATACATGAAAGACGCTTTATGCAGGATGTTTGCAAAATATAATAGTGGTCCCCAGAAGCACGATAGAAAAAACAATGCGTCCCTCTAGGACAAGAGACCGCGAAGGGGCTTCTTTTTACCCGGGCATATTTATGTTTCAAGAGACCCTTTTTTTTACCTTTAAGTCCTTTTGTGCGCGGAGATCTATCAATCGTACCCTATAAATATTAAAATTATAGCGCGCGCGCGCACTCACCGTAGCCGAATTTTTGGCACACCTTGGAATTGCTTACGGGGCCGAGCTGCTTGGGGTCGCCGCCCAACACGAGCTGCTTCGAGTCGAGCAGTAGCCCGATCGCGCAGCAGACCTCCGCCTCGCTAGGCTGCGCGGCTTCGTCAATAAACACCACGTCCGGATGGTACTGCCTCGTGTACATGCCCGCGCGGATCAACGTCATCACGACGACGCGATAGCGCGTAAGCTCCTCCGCCGTCACCGGCAGGACGTCGGCGTCGCCGTCTTCGTTCAGCAGGACGTTCGAATACGGCACCAAAGCCGGATGGAGCGATTTTCTGCGAAAAAAAAAAAAAGAACGCTTTGGAAAGTGTCGCATACGTCGGAGAGGTGCGTACAGCTCCGCGGTCTTGGACATGACCCTCTTGAGCTCTTTCTCGGTGCAGTCGTACTCGATCAGCTTCTCGGCGAGCATATTGCAGGCCGCGTTTGCGGGTGCGCACACCAGGATCCGTTTGGTCGACGTCCGTTTCAGCTGCATTATCGCTTCGATCAGGGTCATGGTCTTGCCGGTGCCGGGGGGGCCGTACACGATGTACGGCGCGCCCCTGGACGAGTTGTTGACGATTTTCAGCACCGCCGTCCTCTGCTCCTCGTTGATGTACACGTCCCGGTTGTAGAACCTGCGCGGGTACGTTATATCCGTAAAAAAGGCCGCACGGACCCGATAACGATTAACGCTTACTCGCGCGATTCGTAGTACGTAAAAACCATTAATACATAGCAAAGTTGCTTTCGCAAAAATCGAATTTTTCGAAAATATACGCGCTTGGCAACGAAACTTACACCTAGGGGACCCCCATCGGTACATTTGTACTTTTTTGTCTGTCCCACATTTGTAGCTATCCATTTCAAAATTGGCACAAATATAGAGCTTAGTTCCGTGACGGAACCTATCGAAATTGGGGGGGGGGGCTGGGAGGCCGGGAAGTATTTTTAATATTTAAAAAACGGAATTTGCAGGGTCTCGAAAAAAAATTCACCTCTCAAAAACGGTATATACCATCGAAAAAAGTTTCAAACCGAAAGACGCGCAAGAACCAGATCAAAAACTTTTACTTCTGACGATTTTTTAAAAAAGTAGAGGGTGCGTCGGTAATTTGCAAAAAACTGAAAGTTCGGTTCCCCGTATAAAGATAATTGAAGACTGTGATTCTGTTGTCAGTTTTTTTTTACATTTAAAACTTTTGTATTTAAGGTTTTCACCTATTGTACGGGGTGTCTCAAATTTGCAGTTATCGACTTCAAATTTAGCAAAGAGGTAGAAGTCCACACCCACATTTAAATTGTTGCAACTGGGCGCCGTCAAGTATGGCGAAGTATTTTTTTTTTAATTTTAAATTTTTTTTGGTTTATGTTGGTTTCCAGAAAAAAATCTTTTTCTCCAAAACTATTACCCCGCTCGGCCAAATTCTTTAACCAACAGACGCTAAAGATCCAGTACTTTAACTTTTATTCCAAGCGTTTTTTCCATTATAAACATTATTTTTCAATTATGAACAAAAATATCAGAGTGTGAGATCCAGGGTTAGAACCTCCATATCGAATATTATTTGAATTATATACGATTATGGGCAGAAAATCTAAAAATTCCCTAAAATTTCCGTTTCTGTGGGTAAATCATTGGTGATAAATGAAAAACTTTTAAAGATCTTTTGAACAGTATCGTTAATTGTGTCGAGAGATAGTTTCAGGTTTCGTCTATCATACAGGGAGCGCGAGATAATCGGAAAAATATATTAACTCGCAATTGCCTGTACAAATTTTGATATTTAAGAAAGTTTGCTGTAACTTTGAAGTTTCGCGAGATGTGCGAAACACGAAGCGGCTTTTTCGAAATACAAAGCCGTGTGATGCGGAGCAGTCCCCTCGAGCGACGAGATTGCGAAAACAATCTTGTTGCTTTCGAAAAATCGATGAAATCGAATTTTGAAATGATCAGCGTAGAAAAAAATTTTTTTTTTGTCTTTCCGTTCTCTGTCCCAGCGTTTTTAGACGATAACTTCCAAACGGTTTATGTTACTCGTTTCAAATGTTGCTCTTTTTTAACAGTCCGCGGGGTACATAAGATATGTAAAAATGGCTGCTGTCAATTTTCGGCGTCCATCTTTTTTTTTTCGATTTTCGACTGTTTTTTGGACATTCCTATCAAACAAGATAAATGTCCGAAATTTGAAGCTACCGATTTCAAATTTGGCAGACAAATAGCATTTAGTCCCCTAACGGAACGCATTGAAAAATTGGGGGCAATACAATATCGCGAAGCATTTAAAATATAATTATATATATATATATATATATATATATATATATATATATATATATATATATATATATATATATATATATATATATATATATATATATATATATATATTGGGTTATTTAAGCTTCCAGAAAAAAAAAAACTTTAACCAGCAGACGCCGAAGATCCAGTTTTTGTTGCAGGAATTTTTCGATTATATACAGGGTTTTTCAATTATAGACAAAAACCTCAAAGACCCTGAAAGTTGTCCTTCTCCAGAGTAAATTATTAGCCGTAGATCAAAATCCGTAAAAAATATGGGTAATTGGTTTAAACAGTGTTATAGGCTACATCGAGAACTACAATTTTTGTATTTACGGTTTGGTCTATCATATATAATACGCTGTTAGAGATGTTGGAAAAAATCCTAATAAAAATCACCACCTCAATCTCGACGCGATGACGTACTTAATGGTTTCAGAAAACAAGTCTTTTCTCAAACACTATTGACTCTATTGGAAAAATTAACATACCAGGAAACGTGACAGATCCGGGGCCATAACATGTTTCGAACATTGTTTGAATACATACAAGATGCGACAATTTGATTTGAACGGTATCGTAAACTAAGTCGAGAGAGAGTTGCAGTTTTCGTTATACAGAGTGCGCGAGATATTTGAAAAAATATCATTTTTAATAGCAATTTCCGGTACGAATTTTAATATTTAGCACAGTTTGCCGTAACTTTGAAGTTCGACGAGATGTGAAAGACACATTATACAGGGTGCATGCACAATAAAATTACATCGATTTTGCGAAAGTTCCATAGTGTTCCGCAGGAGCGTGATAGAAAAACAATGCGTTCTTCTAGAATCGTTCAATAGTTTTTAAGGTTGTTTTGTGCCCATTTTGCGCAAATAAATATTTTTTAAAAGTGTACTGAATCGAGATTATAATTCGCGCAGATGCGGTCACGGTACATTTGAACTACTCCAGTCGGCTACGTAGAATCTTACTCGTTTCGCGATATCTCGATATCCTGAGCGATCGAACGTCGTCGCGCAGTCGCCAAGGAGTTGTCAGGGAACAGGTGGCGCACGTAGTTGTTGAGGACTACCTGGCGTACGCCCTGATGCATGCGCTCGTAGTTTATGCGACCCAATACGAACCGAACGTCCATTTCGATGTCGGGAAAGTTTCGCACGTGATTCAAGCATCTGTAACCGAGACAGAAACTGTCGTCGCGGCAAATCTTTGCCCCGCGTTCGCTTACATGTCGTTGACGTCGCCGATCAGCACGTAATTATCTGCCACCATGGTGATGACGCCCTGGTACGCGGTGTGGTCTTTGTGGATGCGGATCTCGATCGTGTCGCCAACGATCACCGACGGCCTCTTCTCCGCCAATCCTGGCACTTCGAGCTTCAACTTATCGGGATCCACGTATTCCAGATTGACCTGGGAAAGCGCAGAGTCTACACACACTTGTTTCTAATTTGGAAGGTAGATTTTTAAAGTTTGTTAAATTGTGTTTACTCGGAAGGCACTCTTTATGATCCTTATGAAAAGAACAAACAACAATTCATAAACTACAATATTTTCGCCCTGAAAGATTTAAGTCTAGAACTAATGCTAAAGCATTTTCTCTCGTCATACGGAATTTATCCCTTCTGCCAGATATGTATTTAAGATATCTGCAACCCATCGTTTTTTAGTTTTAGTTAAGAGGCCTGCCACGACTAGGTTCAGGCAAATCTTCAACTTGCGTTCTTGATATATTAACAGTCAGTGACCGTAATGCTTTAAAAAATATGCCAGTCAAATGTATAACCTGTACTTTATTTTGTTGATACTACAGGGCACCCTTTCCTCATTGGAACAAAACCACTTGTTTTTGGGTTTGAGTTTCTGATGCAAAAGTTTTCCCCCTCTTCTCCTATTAGTAAAAAATGCACCAAGGTTAGAGTAGCCGTTTCTAGCGGCTAATTTGGTTTAAATATGAAAGATTAAATAGTTCTAAAATTTTAATATTCTCAGGAATATATTTTTGGATCTTTTTTAAAAATAAAATTTTAATGTATTCATTTTCTTACATATTTAAGACGCTTCATAAACAAACTTAATAACTCCGACAAACCAAAAAAGAATAAGACATTATGCGAATATGAAAAACGTCCATGTAGATTTTCCATTATGGAAAATTAATTTTTGGATTCTACCTAAATTGTTGTAACATTTTCTTTACAAAGGACAAATGTCAAGTGGTACATAAAAGCTTTTAAAATACTGACTGTCCATAGGTTTTTACAATTTCAGGCAGTCCTTTATCAGGAAATATTATTATGAGGGTTCTAAAAAAAAGTTGCGCCCCTGTGGGAAACTTAAGAGTAACTTAAATTTTTTTTAGGAATATCTCTGCGATTGACCCTGGTATAATGTGGGCGTCCAAGGAGAAAAAGAGCCTCAGCTACATCGAAAACTTGGAACTAGTAAAAAAGATTATAAATTTTCGTAAAATTTTCGCGATCTACGCACATTCTCCATGTTGTAACAGCTGAGCCCGATGGTGCAGGCAACCTCGTCCAGCCACAATAAAATCGACAAGAAATCGGCGTAGTTCTCTTTCGTTAAATGGTCTGGATGCATTTTGCGCCTGAAAAATGACAAGTTGTCTTCCGCACCGATTTTAATAACCCCACATTGAGGTACCTTATTTGCTGCAAGACGTCGTATTGAGTGTAGCGCTTGTCGAGGCCATACTTCAACGCTTTGGAGTACTCGGCTGGTATCTCAAAGATTCCTTCAAAGGCGCCTCTAACCAAAAACAAATAATAATACCTGGAACTTAGTACCATGAAAATCGAACCTTTGATTTCCGCAAGGCACCACTTGGACATCATTTTCCCACGGTTTTCGCGTGAACGGGCTCTTCTTCATCTCCTGGTTGGGTGTCTCGACTGAGTCGTACACGCCTACCACCTGAAAATCCGGCATGTTAGGGTTGGCGTTTAAAAATGTCGGTTGCACTTACTATAGATCTCGCGATCCCAAAGGTTTCTTTCCCCTCCGTCTGGAACGCGAAGTAAATCGGTATTTTAAAGTTACTAATAATTGTGTCCTCCAAGTTGAGCATCACCATGATTTTGTACTTCGCTCCTGAAATTTCTCGAATTTAACCGGTAATTTTTATAACAATAATTTTATGAACTGGTTTTGGGACGAAACTTTTCTCTGTTCGGAATTAAATATCACTGGATGCAAGAAATATAAGTAGCGCACAAATTACCGGGATTAAGTTGAACGAATTTGCGATTATCCAAAAAATTGTTCGGAGGATCTTTCATGGACATTGCCGAGTGAGGATAAAGAATTCCCGCGTACGTGATGATGACCGGCCCGTGTTTCTCGCTATTCTCAATGAGGCATTCGAATTGGAGGTGATTATTCTGATCGCGCATCATCTCTGGACTAAGACCAAGACTGTACCTCCCTTGCTTATCAAACTCTCCCGAAAAGCCGTAACTGTTGCTACTCGCGAACATCACCCTTACCGTGACTCCCCTACGATTTTTGCATATTGTTTCCCTAAAAAAAAAATCATAGAATGTCTACGTGACACGTCGCTAGATGGCGATTAAATACACAAAACGGCAAAATCTTATCACAATCTTTGTTTATTAACACGATAACTTCTGGGAAGTACCCCCGCGGTCGCTGAGCGGTAAAAGGAAAACTTACCGTTTATTGTTAAATAGGTACAGAGCCCAGTTAAACCGGTGTTCGGCAGAGCCCTTATGGAATTCGTCGAATTCGTCGTCTTCCGGTCGAAAATTGCACAACTGACACCTCTTGATTCGGAAAAATGTTAACTCGCTTAGTCGGCGGATTCCAGTATACGCACGCTCTTACCATTTTTCTTAACCTTCAAACCTGTGGCTAACTGAATATTTTACTTCAAACGCATCAACTTCCTGGGTTAACTATCACGTTTTCTGATTAAAAAATAATGGTACTCTCGCGCTTTTAACCGGGCGATAACGACCATCTCCCGATAAACAATCGCGCGAGAGATAAAACGAAAAATGCATTCGCGGAACAGTCACAGATTAACAACAATAACAATTTTGAACAAAAACTTTCGTTTGCAGAGGTAGGTGGCGTTGCCGCCCTACACAATTTTATCGCAGCACGCTTCTGGGAATATTTCAGTTGGTTGCGGGTTTTTGAAAGTTATCAGTTGTCTAAACGAAAAAAAATTTTTCACGCAAAATATGAAAAATGTGTCGCAACAAGCGTTCAGCAGCGGACGATCTCGTACGATGGTGTAAGCGTGGCAACATGCTACAACTCAGACCACAGACTGCGGCTGGACAGGGTGTAGCCTCACGGTTTCCTTTCGTTCCTTAGTATTCTGTGATTATTGATTATTTTGTCTTGGAAACTGTTGTTATAGTTGGTTTGCACTAGGAACGGCCAGTTTCAAGTTTCAGGGTCCTACATATGCTGATAATACAGGAATAAAGGGGCGTTGAGAAACAATTAGACGGGTCAGTTAATATGCGCATGCGCGGTTATTTGAAATCTCAACCAATAAGACCTAACAGGCAACATGGCCGCTGACAGTTTAATTCGAGAGGTTTTAGTGAAGATGTAACATTTTTTAGATCAATATTAGGGAATCTTGTATGTTCTGGGAAAACGAGTGAAGTGTGGCTCGAGATCGCTGTTTAGACAGAAAATGGCGCAAAGTACAGGTTAGTGGTTGAAATTCGGTCATGCGTGAAAGATTATTCTCATCTCTAGGGGCACTATATGCTAACTATATGATCCAGGATGTAACGATTTATTGATTCAGTTGGTGTAGAATATACAAATCAATGATTATATATACGCGTCATTCGACCATAATTTTCCACCGGTTGGACCAAAGCTGGCAAGCAAAATGCAATGGTGAATCGTCGGTCTGCCAATCGTAGGTGACTCGTTTATCGCTCGAGTCCACGTTAACTCGTATCTTGGAACCCGGTAACCTTTCGCAGGAAAAACAAACCTAAAAATATATGGAATATGGCACTGCATTGTAGCGTGTGTGTACGGGACACCTTTAGCCCTTTGACGAATTGTGGCAAGACCGTCGATTTTTCGACACCGTCGATGAAAATTCTGCCGTCCCGAGTCAAAACCAGAGATCCGCCTTTGTCGTCGATTAATTTTTTCAAATTTAAATCATCGCGAGGGATCAAGCCAAGGAAGGCGTCCGCTGTGTCCACCTCTAAAATCTAAGGAGATCCTTTAAGATTACTTTTTCTGTTTAATAATCGGGACTTGCCGTGAATTCGACAGAATCGTGTGCGGAAACTTGAGGCCCGTCTGAGTACAGGATCGTAGCATGGTCACCCAAAGCCTGGGCGATCTTGTCGTTGTGAGACAGTCTAAAGCCGGAAGTTTGCCGCCAACAAAAGCCGCGAACGTTGGTGAGGGCGACTTGCGCCACAGACCACGGACTCCACTCAGTAGTGCCGTCGAACTTGCAGCAAACACGAAACGAATATGGCCGCGATACTTGCAAGTCTCGCGCTAAAAACTGAGTGTCCGCCCCTGAAAAACCGTCTCGCTTGGGCCACACGCGACAAATCGCAAAATTTTACCTATGTAACAATCGAGAAAGTGATCTGTCAAATTTGTATATTTTGTTACGTCTCCCGATACTCTCTGCAACCGAAATTCTTGCACGTCCCTGCACCTGTCCTCGTTGTCAATGCGCTGTTCCCACTCAACTAGTATGGCACCGGGCTTTTCTTGGGCAGTCTTTATCTAAAACAGGAGTTTATTAATTGGTCGACTCGTCGTCCATAATTAACCTGCACGGGGCCAATGTGATAAATTTCGCCGAAATTGGAGCAAATAGTTTCAATGTCTTGCCGATGAGACGGCTCCACTTGAAAACTAATGAAAGGCACTTCTTTGAGCTCGGGCACTTCGGGCAAGGTTCCCAACAAACTAGCGCTCCCTAAAAACGCGTCCACTGTGTCGTCATTCCCAGACTTGTTGATCGCCTGGCCCAGAACGATCAGCTGGTTTGTATTATCAATCTTCTCCGATACAATCTTTAAAGACTGTTTCAGGGGCAGCAAGCCCCTTTCCTTGATCTGCAACGCGGAATTCGGTAACAATTTCGAGAAAGCTTTACACGGTTTACCTGTTCAGCTTCTTCCAGTAGCGCGTTGCGCCTTATTTTTAACAAATGCTCTAGACATTTCTCTAGGTTAGAAAACGTATCCGAGATATTTTTGACCGTTTCCTCGTACGTTTCGCGTATTTGCTTCTCGGCATTTTTCAGCTCACCGTTGACGAGATTCAGATTGTTCAGATACGATTGGGCTGCCGCTAGTGTTTCCTTAATTTCAAAGTCCATTCTTCGCAATGCCCAAAAATCTAAATATTGGCACGATCGTGGGTAGGCAACCCACGCGACGGTTTTTCCGAGCACGTTACGCCACTGAACGCGCGAGGGCGCTGGTATTTAGATTGAAGCATGGCGTGCTAAACGGACGACAAAGTCCGAATATCGTGGAATTTCGGGATATTGTGCGAACACGGACTGGAAATTTGGAAATTGCGCGGCCACCACCTCTATCGGGCGGGCGTTTGCAGGTAAGGCGAAATTGTTTCTGTTTGTTTCGCGTCTCGGGCGATATCTTGAATTTGCAAACTTTCCTTGGTTTTAGCGACGTTCTCCGAGGAAATGCAAACTTTATTTTCGTAAACGCGTTACTAATAGAGCACTTTTTTCGGTATTTCGCGCAACTCCAACGAAATCATTTTCGTTTCGCCGCGTTCGTAATTTTGGGAATTCTCGTCGCGAAAGGCGCCATCTCGCGGGCGACCCGCGACTCATCCGCCGGGCAATGGAGGTTCGATCGATGTTTGAAAAAAAAAATCGCAGTTCATTTTAGCATTTTCGCGGTCCGGCGGACTCCGGGTTAATTTTATCGATGACTTTCGGTCGTATCCGGTACGCAACCCGGATATTTTCGGCTAACGATGGCGACAACGTCGACGTTAATTATCGGAATCGGCGCTTTTTTTTCTTCCCATTTTCCGCGTCTCGAGCCGCGCAGTCTGGCGCTGTTGCCCCGGCATCCCCACCGCCGTCGCCGCCGAAAAAACAAGTCCGCATCGCGGAGCTTTCAAAGCTCTCTCTCACTCTCCCCACGAACGCAGCTTTCAATCGTGTCGAATCGGCTCGCGAGGCAGCACGTACGTTTTCGGCCATTGCCATTTACGCAAGTCTCTGGTTCATCCCGCGCGGGTGTTTTTGTTTTCTCCGCGATCCGCCGGTGAAATTGTGAATTCGCGTTTCTTTCCCCCGCCTTCGGTTTCGTTTGGTGCCCCGAGTGTTTTGTTTTTTTTTTTTGCTCGTCTTGTTTTGGCCGCGATGGAGGGACGCTACTTCGGCACTTAATAGACAGGTAAAGGCGTAATCGAACAAAGGATTTTCGCCTTGTTTTATTGTCGCCGTATTATCTTTGGCGGCACGGAGATTGATTTCCGGGAAATCTAGTTTAGTCCAATCGATAAGGTATATTAGATATATTGTTTGTTCAACTAGTCCGGAAAAAGCCGCTACTACGGCGTTCTTGATGAACTAATAAATCACAGTTGAAGAGTCTTTTTTTTTCTCTAAATAATCGTGAAAAAATGAAGTAATCTGAATCGTCTAGAGGGATGGATTCACTTCCTTACATTCGTTTTCACCATTTACTATTAAAAATGAAACTCGTATACTTGAAAATAAATTTACAAAATCGTGATTATAACATGGTTTACATGGAGTTACGTAGAACAAAAATTTAATTTATTTCTTGGCACCCGATGGAAAGATACCCATTCGCATAAATGAAAAAATTATTACAAAATTCTTAATAAAAATAAATATTCTAAAAATATTATCTTGAAATGATACTCATATATTTTGTTTACTAAAAAATGCATATGCGTCACAATTTTTATTTAAATACAAAAAAAGTCGTATAAAAAGGTCTAAAGTCAATAATAAACTAAATATGTGATGTCAAAGAAGGCACACATCAATTGCCTAGCGAAATTGATTATTTTCCATTACAATAATGGAAAATCTCTGCGAGATATGGGTAAAATGGTAAATAGAAGTCATGCTACAGTCCAATGTGTGGTGTGATTATAAAAATGCGAAAAGGATTTCAAATGAAACAAGAAAACGCACGCACAAAATACTTCTTCGAAAATGCACGGAATTTCTTAAATTGGCACCCGTCGTCCGGAAGTTATTGGAAAAAACAGTAAACCAGACACCATTGCAAAATAAACAGAAATAAAAGAATGAGTTTCGCAAAAGCGTATCGCCAGTTTTGAGTTTTTGGAAAACAGTTATATTTTCTGACATTTTCACATGGACGTGTAACTTAATTAATTTAAAGTAATTTAATTTTTCAAAGAAACACAGGCTGCTGTAATACTTTTTACAAAACTTCTGGATTCCTCCTGCGTCGATTTTTGTTGAGTCAAACTCGCTAACGTTTCGCCAATCATCTTGTTAGCTTCTTCAGAGCTTGACTGAAGCTGGCTCGCATTTTACTCTGTACCTTCTTATATATTGTTTGAGGGCGGCGGAGCTAAATGAGGGACATAAACATAGTCTCGGATGACTGATTTCCATATTGGTGACAGGTAAGGACCTGAGTCGTTGTTGAGATTGTTAGATTGCTTACAGATTTCTATAGATTCTCGGATTTTTCGAAATTTTAAGATTGTTAGGTTGTTTATAGATTGATAGATAGATGAGTTTATTTGTCTTAGCCTTTCGTGGTCTTTGAATCTTTCGTCCGGTCTCTCCAATGTATTCTTTGCCGCATATGCATGGAATGCTGTAAACTCCTGGCATCTCAAATAGATTTTTGTCTTTGTCGGATCGAAGATGTTGAGAGATGTTTGGACAAGTGGTAAATCTGGTTTTGAATTTATATTTCTACCTCATCTATGGAACGCAACCTCAAATCTGTTATTAAGGCTTCTTCTCTATCGGACTCTGCTAAAAAATCTGTCAGCCCTCATGACTCTAAAATTCCACGTCTCTACGGACTTCGAAAGATTCACAAACCAGGATTACCCCTTCGACCTATTGTCAGCACCACTGGTTCTCCAACATATTCTCTAGTTTCCTTATTAAAACCTTTTACAGGGAAATCTGACAGTTTCATACTTAATTAATTCCTTACACTTCATGGGACAATTAACAAGCATCACATTAGATACACATTCTGGTTAGTTTCGACGTAGAATCCCTCTATTATATCCCCTATTAAAATTCGAGAATCTGGAACCAAACCTTCTCATTTTAATCCAAAAATGCTTGTCTGGAACTTATTTTTAGTATAACGCTCAAATTTTTGAACAAACGTTGGGAACAGCTATGGGTTCTCTACTATCACCAGTCATCACGAATATATTTAAGCTCTCGACACCAAAATTATGGAAAGGCTACGTCGATGATATTTTTTTTATCTGATCTCATGTGCAAGAACATCTAGTAGATTTTCTTAGACATTTAAACTCTATACATCCTAACATTGCATTAGAAACTGATAATAACCTTCCATTCTTAGATATTCTTCGATAATTGTGTTTACAGAAAACCTATGCACACAGACCGATACCTTAATGCATTGTCACATCACCATCCGGCCCAAAAATCATTGGTTATCAACTCTCTTGTTTACGGAACTGTAAAACTATCTCAGTTCGAGTCACTGAATCCAGAATTAAAACACCTTACCTCGGCTATTCTCTCTAATAATTTCCACACTAAAGATATTAAGCGCTTCATCACAAAATGCACTTCACCACAACCTTCCAATAGGAATGAAGCCGAAAGCAACCCACACATGCCACTGTTGTCCTTCCTTACATCCAAAACATATCAAAGGTTCTAAAGAAATATAACGTCCAAACCAGGATTACCACTTGTCCAAAAATCCGACTTCTTCAATCTGTCAGAGACAAAATTCCATTTGTGGAGTTTACAGCATTCCATGCATATGCCATCAGCAGTTGCCGAACACAATCACGAAATCGGATATAATTTTTTTTTCTATAAAACTAAAATTCTGCTGTTGGCCTGGATAACACCCATCTTTAAGAAGCGAAAGCGAGACGAGTGTGCTAACTACCATGTCTTTGCATTGTAGACCAGGATTACGGCCGTAACGAAATCGAGGAGCAAGCAGGCTTCAGAGCAGGTCGATCATGTTTGGATTACATATTCAGCCTGGTGAATGAGAAAAATGTGACAAGAAGCAGAGAAGTTGTTGTCGATTTAACAAAGGCGCGCGGTACAGTCCCCATCTAAAAACTATGGCAGGTACTAGAAGAATCACCGGTTAATAATACAGCTGTAACAGCAATTCAACAGCTCTGTGGACAAGCCACATCTCGAATTAAGATAGGAAAGAACGTATCGGAAACATTTGAAGCTCAAAAGGCCTTCGACAGGGATGCTGTCTCTTCCCGACACTATTCAAGGTTTACTTGAATGAAGCCTTAAGAAAATGGAGAAATGCATGCAGCGGAATAGGAATAGAATTACCAAATAACACCAATGTTTACACCGTCGATTTAGCGGATGATTAAGTTCTAGTGGCCCAGGATAAAGAAGACCTAGAGTTTATCACAATGAATATACAAGATGGGGGCTCACAGTAAACTAAATAAACAAAATATATGTGTGTGGGCGGAGAGGAACTACCTGGGAACTAAGATGGATAGGAGTGGACGAACAGGAAAGGGAATAAAAGACCAAATAGTGAAGGGGAAAAGAGTGTCTTAACTCTATTCTCTGGTCGACACATATTTTTAAAGAAAGGAAAAAACGTATATACGATACTATATTTCAAGGCATAGTCCTTTATGGATTCGAAACATGGCAACTAGACAAAGCCTTGGAAAGAAGACTGCTGCCCTTAGAAATGGACTTCTGGCGCAGGTCGGCCAGTAAATCAAGGATGAATCGAGTAAACAACCAACGAATAAGGGCAATCATGGACGTGCAAAAGCCCATCGTTGAAGAAATAGACCAACGACAACTTATATGGTATGGCCACGTAGAGAGAATGGGTGAAGAAAGATTGATTACCAAAGCAAATTCTAAAATGGACACCCACAGAAAGAAGGAAAAAGAGAAGGAAAGGGAAGTTTTGTAAAAAGTAATCCACAATTTATTTTGTAACTCGTTTAAAAAATTGGAAAATGCGACGTTGTGAACGAGGGGGAGGGTAGCGCCTCGAATATACGAGCGGAAAATTTAGTCGTCGTCTTCGGTGCCCCGGGGTACTTTCGAAGTCCTCGGAGCCGGCTTCGGTTCGCCCTTGGAGCATTATTATCGCTTTAAACAAATGCGCGGAGACGATGGCTCTCGCACCCCTCGAGGGGGGGTATGTCGTTATTTAAAAGCGCCATTATAGGGAATTTGCCATCGGAAGGGGGGACATTTGAGGTGGCGTGTGGAGTAACGTGCCTGGAACGCCAAGGAAAACGAGAGTTTTATAATATTGTAAAAATCCACATTAAACTCTTGCTGAAGTGAATATATATCACAAATAAAAAAAAAATCAAAATATCAAGCACTGCTATAATTTGGCCCCTTAAAAAGATAGCTAACATTGGTGCAATAACTGAGTTGAGACCCATCAGCCTACTGTAGTCTCTAAGGTGTTTGAGGAAATTGTAAATAACCAAATAGTTAACTATGTCTAATGATGCTGACTTTCAATGAATCAGGGGTTTGGCAATTGCAACGATATGACATCCGTCCTACTGAAGGTTCTTGATGACGTTATCTTGGGTGCAGACCGTGCTTGATCTTGTTGGATTACAAGAACCGTTCGACATTTTAAACCATCGACTCATATTTGCGAAACTTTGTTATTACGGTTTCTCTAACCAAACGATTTCCTTTTTTAGAGTCTTAGCAGAGGAGTCCCACAGGGCTCCATTTTGAGACCATTATTATTCTTAATATATTAATTTGATATGGAAAAAAGTGTTGCAGATTGTAACTCTGTACGCAGATGACACACAGTTACGCATAAATGGGCTGTGGCTGCTGAAAGAGTGAATTCATGCTTACTCTACTCAAAGTGGTTTAAAAATTAATCCCTCTAAGTCTCTAGTTATGTTTTTTGGGCCCAATAAAAAAAGATTGCAAAGAATTCGCTTTATTTTTAACGAAGGGACCGTGTGAGTCACAAGTTAAAAGATTTAAAATGGCTAAATATGCAAGATAGATTAAAGCTCCATTTGGCCTGCCACCTGCATAACATTCTTAGAAGTGGAACTCACTTTACATGTGAAACATTCAAAAAAAGATTGTCTGTTTTATAAGTGCTGAGTTTTGGGCTTTCTTGATAGTTGGTTGGTTAAGTATATTTAATACATATCTGTTTTGTATTTTGTAACTTATAACTAAATATTTGGTCTAATGAGTAAATATGTAGCGATTGCTAATTAGCAAAAGTCAAAGCTTAAAAAGTAAAGTAAGAACAAATATTTACTTGGATCCTAAGAATAAAAACCTCAAGCATTTGCTAGCGTTCGGGTGTACTCTAGGCAATTGTTTTGTCGACTTGTCTACTAAATTTCGTTTACAACTTATGTCTCCAATGCAAACGTTTTTAGGAAGGTTACTAACAAGAAAGATATACTTTGAATTATGGAGAGTCAAGCAGACAAGCAATTAATTAAAGTCAGGAAATTAAAGGAACATAGAGTAGTTTTCGATAAGTTTCCAGTTCCCGAAATAAAAAAGAAAAAGAAGAGGCGTTTTTAATGTTTCTCTCACAACTAAACAGATAACGAGGAAACGTAGCAGCATGAAAACAGAAGTTCAAAAGAAATGTGATGTGATTTGGAATTTGGTATTTTTGGGACTATCCATTTTCAGCATCAGTAAGTTCGACCCTGGTTTTGGGAAATTTTGTCCATATGTTTCCCTTACTCACAACTTTATTCATAACATATGTATATGATTTGGAGACACACCAGTTTCTTCACCAATTGCATTTTGAAAACTTGCCAAGCATTGTTCATTTTCATGATTATAAAACGATACAATTTTCGATAGTCTTCTTCTGCACATTCCTTGCGTACTCTGTAGAGTTTCACTTTAAGATTGAAAAACTCTGCAACAGCAAATATAGGAAAATCAATTGCTATCTTTATTCGTATTATATTAAGCAGATTTGATTTGAAGCAATTTCTTAAGACTTTATTCATATCAATGTAAGCATTTACTAGGATTTTTCAAGAAAAGGCAATTGCTAAGTTTTTATTCAGTATGGCGATTGTTACTCTTACGACGTGGCGTTCTTAATAATGCAGTATTTGTCACTCATTTACGGGAGGGTGGGACAAGGATGCCTACCTCAAAAATTACTCAAAACAATTTTTTTTTGCTTATTGTTATTATAAATTCTGGTTATTTGTACATTTTACAAAAAAAACAAAATCTACAAAAAAAAAGCTATTCCGTATTATTATAACCGAATCATAATTAATTTTTTCTGCTCCCGTCTGTAAAATACCTAATTACCCGCCGATCTAGCGTGCGGGAAGCGTCACTTTACCACGTCAGTTGCGTTTCCCACGGATCCGAGCCACTATTGTCTTTTGATGTACAAAACTTTTTTCCCAGTATTCCACCTATGGGTATGATAGATTTAGTAGATTTTGCCCTCAAGTTAATGAACAGATTTACATATCTAAGGAAGGTTTGATTATGGGAAACCCACTTAGTCTTTTGTTATTCGAGATTTTTATGGATTATTTAGAAAACATCATACAAGAACATCCTTTAAGTAAAAGTTTTCTATGGTGATATAGATGCGTGGATCATGCCTTTGCTTGCTTTGTTGGAACTTTTTTAAATTACATTAACTTAATGCATAATCGCATAAAATTCACTATCGAGATTGAATTAATTTCTTAGACAACTATTACGAAAACGCAAAACAAATTAGATTTTTCTACTTACCACAAACTTTCACACACGGACACAGTCGTACATAACAGCTCAAATCACCCTTATACACACAAAATGGCTGCATTTCACTCTCAACAGAAAATTTCAACAAAGAACTTAATTTCATTAAACAAATTGCACCGAACAACCGTCCATTATCAATAAATTTTTCAAAGAAACTTCCACAAGCTACTGTAACACATTTTACAAAACTTCTGGATTCCTCCTGCGTCGAAATTGCTGACGTTTCACCAAACATCCTGTTGGCTTCTTCAGAGCTTGACTGAAACTGTCAAGCTCAATAGACTAGATCCTAATTATGCTACACACTTAAACACAGAAAAACACATTTTTGACGGCAATTTTGGTATTTTACATACAGCCACAGAAAGTACAATTTTATTGGAAGCCATGGAGATTAACACATTTTACAAAACTTCTGGATTCCTCCTGCGTCGAAATTTCTGACGTTTCACCAAACATCCTGTTGGCTTCTTCAGAGCTTGACTGAAACTGTCAAGCTCAATAGACTAGATCCTAATTATGCTACACACTTAAACACAGAAAAACACATTTTTGACGGCAATTTTGGTATTTTACATACAGCCACAGAAAGTACAATTTTATTGGAAGCCATGGAGATTAACACATTTTACAAAACTTCTGGATTCCTCCTGCGTCGAAATTGCTGACGTTTCACCAAACATCCTGTTGGCTTCTTCAGAGCTTGACTGAAACTGTCAAGCTCAATAGACTAGATCCTAATTATGCTACACACTTAAACACAGAAAAACGCATTTTGACGGCAATTTTGATATTTTACATACAGCCACAAAAAGTAGAATTTTATTGGAAGCCATGGAGATTAACAAAATGAGACATTCAAATGTGTTGCTTAACGATCAATTAGATTTAAATACCTCTCCATTATTAAACGTAAATTCTCACAATAACACTAATTAATTAATTAAGGTTTTAATGTCATTTTTCGGTATATATAGTAGCAGGTAGTTTGTAAATATTACATTTGATAAAGACACGGTGTTGTCGAAACAATTTTCATTTGGTGAAAATCTGAACTTTTAGTTCATATTTATTTTGTCAAATGGATTTTCGACAAGTAAAAGCCCCCTCAGTTCAATTCGAGTTTTGTTTTGTAACTTGTGAACGCTTGGTTAAGCAAAAGCTGCCCTTGGCCAACTTAAAAACAAAAGCGTTTCTATTCTATTCAATTCTAAAAAGAAAAAACTATTTTGTTTTCAGATTCCCCCCGTCTATAAAAAACTCTAGCCTCCCGCGCTGTCACATCGCCGTTGGTCGCGTCCCCGCCACCGAGACACGGTGCCCGAGGCGGGCCCCGCCACCATGGCAGGGGCGATCTTTTGCCTGCTGGCCATAGCCCTGGCGGGGGCGGCGGCCGCGGGCCACCAGCCCGGCAGCGACGCCGCCGGCCACTACCTGAGCTTTTCGTCGGGGACGCCGGCTGCCAGGTGCCCCCGGGGCTGTTCTTGCGTCTCCACCACCGTCGACTGTTCGCACCGGGGACTCGCGACGGTCCCGAGGTCGATACCACATGAGACGGAAAAATTGTGAGTGTACTCTCTTTTATTTTTTGAATTTAAGTTTTTTGCGGGACATTTTTAAATATTATGCAAGAGCGGGATGTGAAAATTTTGAAAATTCCAATATACCTGGTTATACGTTCCTGTGAAGGTGTGATTCGAAGCTGGGAGGTAAAAAGTAAATTTAACGCCAATATACATTATACAAAATTGAATAGGTATTGAGATATTTTATTTTTCCATTTTTCTCGAAAACGTGTCTTAAAAGGTACTTTTCAAAAAACTTACTCCATTTTGGATTACTTGCCCAAGACTATGGACACCAGAAGACGATATGATCATTGCAAATGTATCACTTATAATTTGCAATGATTCAGAGGCAGCTAAAAAATCTCAGAAATGAGAGATTCAAAATTTTTCCAAAATCAAGTCGCAAACTTTGAATTTGAATTTGAACTATCCAAAACTAAATCTAATGGGATATATCAAAACAAGATACGTCATTTAGAAAGAGATTAACGCTTACTTTACGCTATCAAGCTACAGGAGAATCATACAATAGCCCCCTGACTCGATTGTGTAACTATCCATTTGTTCTTGATATTCGCGTCCAACAGAGCTCAGACAATTAACCGTACAACGTACAAAACAGACTAAATAAATTCGGCCGAACTTTCTTTTGATGTACCGCCTAGTGAGCAAATCTTTGCCAAGGCGAACGAATACGTTCGTTAATGTTCCTTAACCCCTAATATGCAGTATACAAAATTTATTAAGTTTTGAGATATTTTTTCTCAAAAACGTAAACCTTAATATCCCTAAAGTGGTTTTCAAAAAACCCACTCAATTTTGTTAATTCCAGTGAAATATTTGCCCAGCATTAGGGGCTACTACCAACGTTCATCCGACATTTAAAAAGGAACTTTCTTATTGCAATAGCTATCCAAAAAAATTATTTAGAGATGAATAATAAAGCACGTTTAATTTTTTATTGCTTTGCATTAAACTTATTGTTTACAAGTCTTGTTCAAAATGATAGTCCCTATTTTAAATACATGATCGGCAATGACCTCAGACACAGAAACTGCACTTCTAATAAAACGGTTAGAAAAACTTTGATTCAGTAAATGCCGTACTGTCAGGCAATTATATTCTGAAATATCATTCGTTTTCCCATGTCTTCTAGAAGGACCGGTAGGTCATGCCTTAATTTTTTTTTCTAAATTTCACCATATTGAAAAAAAAATGAGTCCACACATTTACAGAAAACTTCCTTTTTAAACTAGTTAAAGCTTTCTTCGATCGTGATGTAACTTGTGAAAGTTTGATGTGACTGACTCATCGCCCAATAAAATATCACACACAAAACGGGAGAATGTGAAAGAATGGATTCTAACTCCATGTAGCGTTGACCATGAAGTTGAAGCACCTCTCGAACTTTTAATTCGTGAATGTGTTTAATTCCTTCAAATCTTAAATCAGTAGTAGCAAAGATATAGAGTTAGCACAAAAACAAATCATGGGTTATTGAATTTGAATTGTCCAGATCTATTAACAGCTATTAATTTTTAATAATTTTTTTTAATGGAACTACCGTTTGTAGTAAAAATCCTGAAAGCGTAATTGGTCGCTCGAGCGAAAAGCCGCATCTTTCGCTCGCTTGTAGCGAGATAACAAAGAAAAGAATCGTTTTATGGTGTATGAGATACTGCACGCAAAGTAAATATTCTACACCCAAAATGGTAACACACGACGTCAGTATTTCGCGGGCCCGCCATATTGATTTAACAAATTGAAACAAGAAGATAATGTCATTACCTATTATATATCTATATATATGCCGTTTTTATATGCACGCATTCACACTTATTTTGTCCAATATTCAATATTAAATTTCTATAAAAATTTCTTATTAATAATGAAAATAACTTTATTGTGTAGATCTTTTTTTCCATTATACACGGTTCGGGTTTAATATATATTTAATTTACTAAAGTATTTTTCTACTGCCATCTGTTAAATACCTAATCACACACCGATCTAGCGTGCGGGAAGCGTCATTTTACCGCGTAAGTTTCGTTATCCACGAATCCGAGCCACTTCGGACATTTCCGTGATTTTACCGCACGGATTTGGGTGCAATCGTATGTTTTCGGAGATATTTCCCACGCTTTGAATTTTGACGTTTCTCAATTACGACGGTCATGTCATTGAATGTATCGGTGTTGTTTTGCGAAAATGTAACCAAAAACTAACGGTCGTAAAAAAAGTATAGTATGCAACATGTTCCGTAAACTTTTTAACTCACTCGTTTATTAAAAACTCTCTCCGCTCGTGTCAAATAAACTCGTGAGTCAAATGCTGTTTACCGCACTTGTTGCATAATATACTATTAATTTATTGTTTGGTTTGGTTTAAAATTTAATTTTATTTTTAAAATGTTTGGTATGCAATCTGGATTTTTACTGTATTAATATATATGACTCGTTTTACTACAAAGATCTATAGTTTTTGATTTTGATAGAATTTGATTGTTTGTTTGATGTTGGTGATTTTGCGATTTTAAAAGTGTTTTGTTTCTAAATATTAAATAAATAGTTAGCACTGTTTAGTGTGGGGAAAAACTAGATCATTTCATTTTTCAAAGTTAAGTTGTACCTCTGGCGACAAACAGAAACGTGATTGGCTCAACTAATTGATGGAAAGTCCGTTCTATCGTCTATGGTTTCATCTGACATTTAACTTACATTAACAATGTTGTCGTTGAAACTAATACTTAATAGTTCAGGAGATAGGTAACTGCAAGCAAAAAATATCATTAGTAAACTCAATTAAGAAAAGAGGAGCTAACAAGGTTCCATTTGGATTATAGTATTTTAGTATTTATTATGGTGTATAATTTCACTCCTGGGTTCATCCCATTACCTTGCAGTGTGAAAGTATTGTTTCATCTGTTATTTATTATTGCTGTCGAAAATCGTTACAGAATCATGTGAAAAATTTTCTTAAAAATTTTGGAAAATCCGGAGAGCAAAGCAATACCTTTGAAGTTGGAACTTTGGTACGATCACAAAACTATTCGTGTTCGGCGTATGCCTATAGAAAGGCGAATAATATCGGCTTGGTTGTCTGAACAAACCTAAAGTCTTCGGTCCATACCGACTGCGCCGTTCAAATGCCACGTGTTAACGATAAACACGTCGGAACGCGGCGCCGTAAATATTTTTGCCTGTTTACAAGACGCCAGCGCAGACGGGGATTTTATTTCTGAATGGTACATAAATCCTTGCCGGTCGTTAATTTGTTGTCCCCCTTCCTGCGTCGGCCACATGTCATAATTGCGCAATTAAAACATCGTTTAAAAAATGCACGCAGAGACACGGGGTAAGAATCCCGTACCCCCCGCAGTAGTTGTTCGCGTTTATCTAGATACACGGCTAGACATTCATCACCAAAAAAAAAGAAAAACGTTCATATATTAAAGGTGATTATTTTCCAAGATATTTTGAAAAAAAAAACGACTTTTGCCATAATCATCTCTTCGTAGGCTACGTGCCTGCAATGAAGCATTCATTTCCCCTATTTTCTACAGTAAGTTCATCAAAGATTCCAAAATGTAAATGTTCTTACAAATGCGTTTTGCCAAAATTTGTGATTTTTATTTTTTTGCTTGAAAACTAGGTTTCTTCAAACAACAATTACAAAAATGTGTGGTCTGCCACTGCCGATAATGCAGGAACTGTTGAAGCCACGTCAAGTTCGGTCTAATGTCAAGGTTTTGCTTATTGTTTTCTTTGATTATCGTGGCGTAGTACTAAGAGTTCTTACCACAAAGTGGTACGGCCAATAAAGAGTATTGAAGTTATGCGCCGTTTGCGAGAAGCAATACGAAGAAAACGTCCGGAATTGTAACAAAAACAATTCATGGATTTTGCATCACGATAATGCACCTGCTCACTCATCGTTGCTTGTGTCTAACTTTTTGGCCAAAACCAAAACCATAATTATGCGACTGCGACTTTTTTCTGTTTTTTGATAAAGAAAAAATCGCTGGGAGAACTCAAGGCTATGCCAGAAAGTGCTTACCAGAAGTGCTTCGAGGATTGGGGACAACGTTTTCACAAGTGCATTATATGCACCTAACTTTTTGAACACACCTCGTATTTAGAAGGTTGGTATTACTTAAAAAAAAATCGTTTTCAACCCATAAGACAGCTTCTGCCTAGATACCGTCAAATGGTTAGTTAGGAACGTGTGGAGCTTGATGTCTGAAAATACAGGTTTAAGGGCGCTTCTCATATTCGCTTCACCGTGCTTCACTAGACCTCACTTCATAGATCACCAAAATGTAGAGTCAAAAATTCTTCGCTTTGTCGCTAAGTGAAGTGAAACGTATATGAGAACCTGCCTGTAGTGTGTGAAATTGAGACGGATGCACGGAAGATGAGTCCCTTCTCTTCCAAAATATGATGCCCGCTTGAGGCGCATCAATTTTTACCGTCCCTACGGCCACCATAGGGTTTATTTTATGAAATATTTTGTTCCTGATCTGCCAGTTCGGCGATTTGTTTTGTATATTATACGCCGCGTTCGCATGCATAATTATGCGCGTGTACGTAATTTATTATCTAAATCTATTCAATAATAGTACAATGTGGGAACGATAATATTTTTGGAATTTCTCCCCAATAACGAGGCGGAAATTTGAATAATGAACCCGAAAACATTTATCATCGTTGTAGTCGGAGCCTCCCGCCCGTTTGGGCCTGTTTGTTTTCATTTAGCGCGAATTTCGTTTTTGACTCTGTGATTTAAAATAATCGAGTTCATTTGGGTTGCATTTAAACATCTTCCAATTTGTTTTGGTGTAATAGACTAAGGCTTTGAATGTAGTTAACAGGAAGTGGTTAATACCATTGTGATTGTACACCATGTGCCAAATAAAACGACCCACTATACGATCTGGAACATACAAAACCTTCTTGGACTCTCCTGAAGATTAAAATATTATAATTTTGTTGATACAA